GAGCTCCACGCCAAGTTTACGGAGAGCGACGCGTTCGTCGTCGTGACGCCCGAGTACAACCACACGTTCTCGCCCGTCATTTCGTCGCTCCTCAACTACTTTTACCACAACGAGTTTTACTACAAGGTCGCCGGCATCGCGTCCTACACGATGGGCCCGTACGGCGGCGTCCGCGCGGCCATCCAGCTGCGCCCGTACCTCGGCGAGCTCGGCTTGATCACGATCCCCAAGATCCTTCCGTTCCCGGCTATCCACGCGCTTCTCAACGAAGACGGTTCGGTCACGGCCGGCGCAGCGGGCGCCGACTCGTTGGCGGCCGTGAGCAAGGGTTTTTTCCCCGAGCTGCTCTGGTACGCGGCCAACCTCAAGGCCGGTCGCGCTGCCGGCACGCCGTAAACGTAGGTGGTCGATATTGTTTGAAAGCACGACGCATGTAACATGGTTCTCGTATTCATCAATTAATGACTTTGCGTCTACAGGAACCTTGACATCTGGTGCTACAAGCACACTCTGGCCATGTAGTGGAGGCTTGTGAACAAAACCTGAAAAGAAAATTGTCTTGTGGGTTATGCAGACACGGTGACGTGTCCTGGCATATGTGCTCGTGCATGATCGTCGCGCAGAATCTAGCCCTTGCTGTAGACCAGAAAGTCTACGCATTGTCTTACTTTAGAACTAGCATTCTATCTGGGTGTCTACAAAAGGTGTGCGCATCATGATAGTTGACTCATCGACGCTGCTTTGCAGACGTGCAGCGTATTAGTACTGGTGATGCAACGCATCACGATGACCGTCATCGATCGACAGTATTTCCATTTGCAGTTTTTAGCCTTGGACCTTAAAGCTCGATTCGAGGCCGCCCGCTTCTCCACCATGGTTCAGCTCGCATGCAACCCTTTACACTCGGTATACAAATAACAAATGCAGCCTTTTAGCTCGATAGCTTCTACATCATGTAAAGGCCATGAGCAAAAGCATCATTTGCCATAACCGATTCAGCTTGCTACGACGAACATGACTGCTTACTTTGGACGCGCGACGATGGTCGCCTTGAGTGCTGGGCTGGCCTACATGATCTACTCCAACGCCACTTGCACGCCGATAGACGTTGCCGCCGACGCACCAACGACAACTACCACCACGCAGTCGACTGCTGACGAACAACAACACGATCATCTCAACACCGATGCCAACGCGCCAGAACCACTCGAGGCCGCGATTGAGCCACCGCAGCTTGACGCTGCTACCATCCTGGAACTTCTTGAAGACACACAACAGCGCCAGTTGGACGTGATGCAGGCGTCTCTGGACGCGTCAACTGCCACTGCAGAAGCACTGCAGCAACAACTTGACACCTCCAGTGCCCGAGCAGCGGCAGCCGAGGCCACGATTCGTGCTCAACAGCACGAGCAGGATGTCATGGCCGCCGACCACCTTCGCGCGATCGATGCGCTTCGTACCGAGCACCAGCGCCAGCTTACAGCAGCACAGGCCTCTTTCGACGAATCTGAGCTGCAGGTCGCGACTCTTCAAGACCAACTCGACGCCTCGATTGCTTTGCAGGCCACCACACAAGCATCTCTCGACGAATCTGTCGAGCGTTTGGCGCACCAAGCTCTCGCGTCGCTCCACGAGTCGGCTGCAGCGGATGACGTCATCCGAAAATTGCAGCTAGAACTCAACGCAGCGAACGTGACGGTCGAGGTAGCAACGATGGACGCGGCGAGGGCTCTAGACGAGTGGCGCCGCGTGGTCTCGAGCCGCCTGTTTGAATGTCCACGCTGCGGCGGCGTCGACGACACGCCCATCATGATCGAGTCGGAAGAAGCACCAGTCGACGACATGGAGCGGTGGCCGTGTGAGGACGCCATGTCCGTGCCGGCCATCCTTGCAGCACCGCCGCAGCTGCCATCCATCACCGAGACGATCGAGGAGCTCACGGACGACGACGACAACCTCTCGTACAGACAAGGACGATCACGAAAGCTCAGCCGACTGCGCGAGGCCGGGCTTTGGCCACTCGGACCCAAGAAGAAGCCCAAGCCACCACGTCGAGCTCCGCGCTTGCCGATAGAGCCCCGCCCTGGCTTGGCCGATGTCTTTGCTGGTCTTGGAGCACTAGGTTTCGGTGGCTCTCCACTCTAGCCCTCTTCTCGAACATCAAAATAGTGTAGTGTAGTAGTGTAGTAGTACAATAGTGGTAGTTGTTGCAATCGTATATTGCACATGCGTTTGGTAAATAATGTCATAGGCCTGTTCAATTCGTAAGGTTATCGCTGCAGCTTGGTATCAATGCGGGAATCAGTCGAGATGACGCCGTAAACTTCCAGTTGCTGGTAGTAATAAAACGCGGTCGTATAGTTCGACTTTGATAAGGGTGCCACAAGAGAACATCGGCTCAGCTATCGACACCAAACCCAGTTCATAGCCTACTAATAGGTGAATGAGCTAGGTTGATGGTGCAGACAGGACTCCATTTCGATGCGAAGTGCTTGGACTCCGACTCTGCAGATCACGTGATCAGATAAGCACCTTCCACATCCCATGATTGTGCCCTCTTCAGACCTTTTCAGAGCCGTTGGCGGTGAGGTCACCTGCTAGATTCGGGCGTCCGAGTTTCTCGTTCACATCGAGCGACTATATAGACGGAGGTGCCACATCGAAAGCATGTAAAACGACTGCGTCGATCACTTCGCTTGCAAGCGCCAAAGCTGTTGGCCAAACGCAGAGCCCTACCCTCGCCAAATCCAGTGGTCGATATTTGAGATTGCCCAATCACAACGCGCGAGTTAAAAAATCGAATGCGGGTTCGAAGATCGCAAATCTTGCAACCCGGTACGCAGTTCATTCTGGCATTCGCCTCGTCTTTGCCGGCACACCTTCCATGCCGCTCACGATCTCGGTCATCATTGGCTCGGTCCGCCCGGGCCGCCAGGGCCTCCGCGCAGCCAAGCACGTCGAGGCGCAGCTCCTTGCGCAAGGCATCAACGTGCACCTCATCGACCCGGTCGTCCTCCAGATCCCGTTGTTTGGTAACCGGTACGACTACCTTCCGGCAGACCAAAAGACGCCGGCGCTCACCGAAGTCTACGAAAAGTTTACCGAGAGCGACGCGTTCGTTATCGTGACGCCCGAGTACAACCACGCGTACTCGCCCGTCATCTCGTCGCTCATGAACTACTTTTACCACAACGAGTTTTACTACAAGGTCGCCGGCATTGTCTCGTACAGCATGGGCCCGTTTGGCGGCGTCCGCGCGGCCATCCAGCTCCGCGCGTACCTCGGCGAGCTCGGGTTGGTGTCGATCCCCAAGCTCCTCCCGTACCCGGTCATCCAAGCGCTCCTCAACGAAGACGGCAGCGTCCAAGACGGCGCGGCCGGCGCCGACTCGCTCGCCGACAGCTCGGCCAAGTTTGTCAATGAGCTGGTGTGGTATGCTAAGAGCCTCAAGGCCGCCCGCGCCGCCGGCATGCCTTAATGTCCTCCGTCATCACGATATTGAATGGTTTCTGGACGACATAGTAGTAATGCCATGCCAACCACGCTCTTGGTCGTTAGCGTTGTGTGCTGCAACTGCGTGATGGCCAAGCCGCAAGCTCGACGTGCGAGGTCATCGTAGCACTCTTCTTGCAAGTCGAGCTAAGAGCCGAGGCATATTCGGGCGGTATTTGGTACCAGCGAAACCAGTTTGCATGTGGGATCGCGTGTCACGTTCGGAGATCTGGTGCGTCTGATGGGACGTT